AGGACACCGCAACAAGGAACCTGGTCTGCCACACCCCCAGGCCCACACTCACCAGGGCGGTATGGCTTCCGCTTCCTCTTCTTGCACTCCTCGAGGTCCTCCAGCCCCTTCCCCGAGTCCAGGTCAGCCCCACCATCCCGGTCAGGGCTGGCAGAGGCTTCCAGCTTGATCTCGCACTCCATGTGCTCCACGCCCACTGTACGGCAAAGGGCAAGATGGGGGTTGGCACAGGGACCCTGAACACCATCCCCCAGCCCCCCATCTTCCCAGGACCTCTGCCATGTGCCAACACTGCACCAGGCTCATCTGGACAAGCCCATGCCTGTGCAGAGATTCCCCAGAGACACTGTTGAGCTCCCAGCCACATCCCTGGATCCTCCTCCTCCCTGGACCTGCCCATCGCTGCCCCGACCCCTGCCAGCTGCAGACTCTCATGCCCAGCCCCTGGTGCTCCATGGGATCAACCTGGACTGGAGCCCCAGGCAGCAGGGGCCCACACAAAGCCTCGCACCTTCAGCCTTCAGCAGCTCATCCCCTTCCAGGTCCCCCTCCTTCTTCTCATCGGGGCCCAGGGGGTCACTGCCTTCCAAGCTGCCCTCCCCGTTGAGGGCCCCTGGCCTGGTTTTGCGCTGCCTCCGCTTGTGCAGTGGGGACATGGTCAAGTTACGGAGCACGGCCATGCCGGTTTCGGTCAGCCAGACACCCTCGAAGCGGAAGTACTGGGGCTCTGCAGAACGGGCAAGGGGCACGGGCTGCAGCTCCGGATGCCTGGGTTCTTGGGCCAGCTTTGCCGCTCCTCCAACCAAGCCTGCTCCTGTCTGCATCCCAGCTGCACCCTTGCCAGTGCTGGGGCCATTTCTGGCTTCCACTGGGAGCTGACGGCTCAGACACTTACCTGGCTCCTTCATCTTCACCGGGGTGATCTCTGTGGGGGCCACAGGCACTGGGGAGGTAACGCACACACCAGTGAGTCCCCACAGCTTCCCTGCATACCCCCCCTCCTCCTCAAGCCTCATCCCCACTATGGGCAGGGACCCACCGATGGGCTTGACCACGTAGGGCTGGCAGGCGCTGCAGTCGAAGCCCTCATCTGCCGCCTGCTCCACCTCCTCCTCCGTGAAGAGGTTGTCACACGAGGCATGGAGCCACCTGCAGAGACAGCGTCAGGGGACAGTCTGCCATGAGACGCGCATCCTGTCCTCACTCCTACAGTCACCCCTCAGGCTAAGCCAGGCCCGGCCCCAGCCAGGGACATGTCTTTGGTCCCAGGGCACCCTCAGACCGAGGAGCAAGGAGCCAGCAGACTTACTGCTGCAAGCCACTGCCTAAGGCAAGGCAAGCCAAGCCCCAAAGGCTGCATCCACAGGGGCTTTGTAAGAGCTACCCTGCCCCCAACTTGCTGTCCTCAGAGCCCAGAATCAGGCTCTAGAGTCAGTAGCTGTAGGTACAGGGCCACCAACTCAAAGTCAGTGAGAATCTAGGATCTTACCACAGGCTACTGACTCTGAAGCTACTGATAGCACCAGGGCCGGGCCAGGCCGGGGGAAGCACGAGCTTGAAGGCAATGCCCGCAGCATCAGCTGGGCTGTGCCAGAATCTGCATTTCCCTGGAAGCTCCCATGTTCCCCAGGAAACACCGCTAGATCCACAGAACCAGCAGCAAAACCATGGCCTGGCAGCATAGAGCACTTGTCCATGGCTACCCCCAGGGGAGAGGGACCCATGCCTCACCGGTCACAGTGGCGGCACTGGATGAGCAGGTCGTCTTCCACGTATTTCTCCCGGCAGACAGGGCAGGCGACTAGGCTAGCACAGGGGCCGCAGTGCGTGTAGTTGTTCTGCCATTCGCAGTGGAAGCCAGGCGAGGCCGCCCCACACTGCACACAGCACACGCACCTGCCAGGGATGGGACGGGAGGGGGTCAGCGCCTATTTCTCACCGCGGCCCCTCTCGGTCCACCATGCCCTGCACCCCACCCTTGCAGGCTGGCAGCCACCTCTTGGCCCTCAGCCTGCAGGCAGCTCCCACAGCCCCACGTGCTGGAGACCCAGCTCCCCTGGCCTCACCACTGCCCTCTTAGCAAGTCTGCAGGTACCCAAGGTGGGGGGGACCAGGGGACCAGTGCTGCTAGGGCCCAGCCCAGCCCCACAGGGCGGGGTAGTGGCTCACCACTTGCACTTCCAGCCGCCCTTAGGCACGGTCTGCAGCGGCGGGTCCAGGCAGTAAGTGTGGTAGCTGACATCACAGTCGTCGCACAGCAGCAGGCGTGAAGGGTCTGAGGCCTTGCCACAGACCTCACATACAATACACTCCACACAACGCCAACCCTTCAGCAGCATCACTTTGGTGATCTGGGGACAGGGCAGGGCAATGCTCGTGAGATGGCCCCAGCAGGGTGGGAGGCCCAGGCTGCTGCCTGCTCTGCAGGCCTGGGCTCCGGAGAGGCCCACTGGGGGCAGGAAGGGCATGGTGGCGCAATCCTCTCCCCCTGACACCAAGAAGCAGGGCACCCGACCTAGGGTCCAGCTGCCTGACAACCTCCGGGGCCACCTTACCTTGCTGTTGACACAGTAGGGATGGTAGCACTGGGAGCACTGAGAACAGGCCAGCAGGTGCCCCTCAGCCCCACGCCCAAAGCTGCCGCACACTACGCACATGTCCTGCGGGAGGAGGGGGATGTCAGGGAGGTGGGGCAGAGCCGTAGCAGCCCCCAAGACAGCACCTGGCCCAGCCCTACCCTCACCTGCATGAGAACGAACTTGTCCGTGTTGGAGAAGAGCACAACCGTGTTCTGCATGGTGTCCTCGTCCTCCTCATCATCCTCCTTGCTGGGGGAGCTGTCCACGTCTGCCAGCTGGACACAGAGGACAGGGGCAGCATAAGCAAGACAAGGCCAAGGCATCCTACCCACCACGACCAGGAGAGCCAGGTGCCCTCAGCTCCGACACCCGGGCACAAGCTGGATGAGCATCCGGGCTCCTCTCCCCCAAGTCAGGCAGACACTGGGACAGAGGGAGCACCTTGGCCTGACACACAGGCAAGAGATCCCCTGACACCTGAAGAGACAGGCCTGGCACCCCACAAAGCACTGCACTGGGGGCACATCCCACCCGCCCCCAGGCTCTGCCTAGAGGTATCAGGGATGGAGGCAGGGTCTCAGCCGACTAGCAACACCCCAGCCCCGGACAAGGCGCCCAGGCTTACCGCAAGGGTCTCGATGGACGAAGTGGTCGACTTCAGCCGGGCACGGCCACGACCGCGGCCCCCATGGGACCCACCACGGGGGCGCCTCCTCCCGGGGAAACTGCTGCTCCGACCCTAGGGCCCAGGGGAGGACGGGGGTGCAGTTACACAGGGTCAACTCCCAGCCAGGTCCCAGTGCCACGAGATGCAGCTCCTCGGGCGCCCGGAGCAAAGGGGGCCCCAAACCTGCATCCTGGCCCACGTCAGGAAACAGACAGGGCACTTGGCTCTGGCGGTGCAGGGAGCCCAGCCTCCCCCAGCTGATGCCCCAGCTGACAGTGTCAGCACAATAGGGCAGAAAGAGTCTGATCTGGACTGGGACCCAGCAGGCCAGCATGTGGACACCAACCAGGCTGGAGGTGGAGGTATGAGCCCCCAAGTGTCCCCATTCCCACTCACCTGCTTGATTCTGGACCTCCCAGGGGAGCTGCGCCGCCGGCCCTTCTCACCTTCACCCTTCACCCCGGAAGCTGGCTCAAAAAGCAGTGAGTCGTCTGTCTCAGGCAGTGAGTCGGTGCCAAGGGGTAGCAGAGCAGCATCGTCCTTCTGCAGGCTGATATCCGTGGACGTCATGCCCAGCTCCATGGAGAGTGAACCCCCGCCCTCAGGGTCAGGTGAGCCCAGCAGGGGCTCTGACCCAGGGAAGCTGCTGCTGGTGTCACCCTGGCTCAGGTTGGAAATCTCATTGACAATGTCCGACTTGATGAGGGCTGGCCGGGGCTGCAGGGCTGGGGGCTCAGGGCCACCCTCCTCACCGCGACCCAGCAGTTTTGTGCCTGCCCCGCACACCTCCATGGGGGTGGCTGGACCCAGCTCCTCAGGCTCCAGCAGCAGGGGTGAGCCCTTGGGCTCGCTGGCAAAGCTGACAGGGGTCTGGCTGGACTCGGGGTCCCCCACACCCCGCAGCTCCTCCAGCCCATCCTCCTCGCTCAGCTGGGGTGAGCAGCGCCCGCTGGCCCCCTCCCGCTCCAGCCTCGGCGCCTCCTCTTCCTCATCCTCCTCTTCCTCTGCCAGGCCTGGGAAGGGCCCCAGCGCCGGGGCTGGGCTAGGCTGAGCTCCGTCCCCCGAGGGGCTGGCCAGCGCCCTGGCCTCTGGGGCCGTCTCCATCTCCTCCTCCTCACTGCCCCGCTGGGCTCCCCCATGGGCCAGTTGGGGGGCAGGGGAGCCCAGCAGGGGCGCCACAGAGGGTGGCTCAGCAGTGGGTGGTGAGGGCGGTGGGGCTGGGGAGGCAGCAGGAGGCTCCATGTCCATAGAGATGCAAGGGCTGCCCGCAGGCTCCAGCCCGGGGGCAGGGGAGGCAGGGGTGGGGGCAGGGGTGTGGGCCTCCACTGCCAGCTCAGGGGCCACATCTTCTTTGGCATCTGGAGGCAGCTCCTCGGGGTGAGCAGGTGACACGGCAGCAAGGTCTGGTGGGGGAGGAGACAGTGACAGTGATTGTGGAGGGGCAGCACACAAGCCCCACTCAAAGCACAACTCCCAGAATGCCCTGGAGCAGCCTGGTGTATAGGTCACCTCCCCTGGTGGGCCTGCCCCTCACCTGGGGGTGCTGGGGGCGAGGGCGCCGGGGTCACGGTGGGGGGCGGTGGTTCCAGTTCCACCTCCATCGCCTCCTCCTTGGCAGGTGCCTCTGGGGCCAGGGCTGGGGGCTCCTCAGGTTCCTCTGCCTTTGAGTCTGGGTCTGGATCTGGGCCTAAGGTTAGGGTCAGGGAGGGTCATTGGGGTAAACCCCCCACAAGCCCCAGGCACTAGGTCCCACCAGCAGGGCCCAGGTTGCTTGCCAACTGCAGGTCCCACAGCACCCCTAGTGCTCTGCCAGGCTCCCCTCACACCACCAGGGCAGGGGTGCTGACCCTGGTGCCCAGGCCTGACTCCTGACCTCACCCCAGGCCCCTGCTCACCGAGCGGCTTGGCTTCATCCGCGGCCGGCAGCTTGTCCTGGGGCTCTGCTGCAGGGCTCCTGGCCTGCGGCAGGGGTGAGGGCACAGGTGGGTCATGGCCCGCTGGGGACGGGGGTGCGGGGGAGCCCGCCGAGTCGATGCGGGCCATGGGCGGCGGTGAGCTGGAGGGACGAGGCAGTGCAGGTGGTGAGCAGCATTCCAGAATACCCATCTCCAACCCCTCACGCCCCCCACCCTCCGCGGCCTGGGGGTGGGGGCAGCAACCAGGAATCTGCCCCCCCCTCTGTGCTTCAAGTTGCAGCCTGGTGGCCCCCCAAACCCTGTTCCCCCTGGGCTGAGTCCCACCAGCATCAGCAGTCCCAAGACACAGCAGAGGCCCCCCACCCCACCCCACTTAAGCACTCACTGCTGGTCGCATGGTGGGGCTTCGGCTTCACCCGCCTGGCTGCCCTCCGTGCTGTGGCGCCGCTGCTCTTGGCACCCCTCACACACCGAGTAGTTCTCGTACCACTGGCACCCAGGGTCGAGAGCCGCCGGCCGCTGCCCACAGTCTGAGCACACCCGGCAGTTCTGCATGTGAGAGACGGACATGCTCAGAGCAGCCATCTGCCGGGGGGAAGGGGCACGGGGCTCTTCCCCTCCAGTGAGGCTGGCTCCAATCCCACCCTGCAGTGCCAGGAAGGCTTGGGAGCAGGGCACAGACCCTTTCCTCTCCAGGGTCCTGGACTCCAGGCAAGCAGCTGACATCTGGGAGCAGGGGCACCCCCAGCACACCCACCTCCCCAGGGCTCACCTTGCACTTCCAGGAGTCGGTGGGGAGGCTCTCGATAGCAGGCTTCATGCAGAAGGTGTGGTAGCCCTTGTCGCAGGCCTCGCACACCAGCATCATAGAGTCTTCGCCGGGCTGCCTGTGGCGGGGGGGGGGGGCACTGCTATCAGGGCTGGACCCAGCCCCATGCAGCTCCAGCCCCTAAGGGGAGTCCAGGAACCCATGCCCAAATGGGATGCGAGATGCCCAAAGGTACTGGTCCATGCTCACACAGCCACACTGGGCACCGCCAGAAGTGAACCCAGGAGTTTGGGCTTCCACCCTATCTCCATTCCCCAACCATACCTAGCCTGGCTTTGCTTCCGCAGCTGCGAGACTAACCCAGGAATCCTGCCTCCCAGCCCCACACCCCATCAAGAGGCAGCGCAGCCTGGGCCATCCCCATGCCCAGAGTGGGGGTCCACTGCCTACCTGCAGGTTTGGCAAACTTTACACTCGGGGCACTGCCAGCCGGCGCGCTTGCGGGGCGTGACAGTGATCTCCAGGCAGGTGCCGTGGTAGTGCAGCCCACAGCTGGTGCAAAACAGCAGGTCGCGCAGCTCACCTGGCCCATCGCACACCACGCATCGCGAGTCCTCTAGAGAGGAGAGGCAGCTGTGACCCCACCAGACTCCCAAGAGGCACTCCTGGCCTCGTGCTCACTTTCCACCTGGCCCCACAGATGCAGGCACCCACCCAAAGGCCTGGCAGCACCTACTGCAGGCCCCTCCCAGGACCACCCCAGTACTCCCCTACCCTCCAGCTGCGTGCTCGCATCCCAGACTGCTAGGAACAGAACCAAGGAGTCCAAGCCCCCAGCACCCCACAGAAACCACTCGACCCGCCCTGCCCATTATCCCAGCACCACTCACCCATCTGGGCTGCCTCGGCTAGGTGTTCTGGGCACAGGAGCCGGAGGGTCTTCATAGACTGGAAAGAGCCGCTAGCAGCTGCACAGGGGAAGTGGTAGCGCCGCAGACAGCCCTCCGAGTGGCACTGAAGGGTAGCACCCATCCTCTGACAGCGTTCACATTTCTGCAAGCAGCCGGGAAGCCAGGCCAGGTCAGGGACGGACGGATGGGCCCCCGGCTGCCTGCCAGGAAATGACCCCCACGGGTCCCGAAATGCAGCTGCTTTTGCAGTAGGACAATGGCTGCAGGACACCGCCTGGCCAGAGATATGGCCTGATCTCAGCACCAGAGGGCTGCACCCATTGTGGGGGCTCTCACAGTGACAGAGAGGCATCAGGAAGGATCCCCCTCCTCTCCTGCCACACTGGACATGTACCACCCTCCAAGACAGCTCCGTCTGGCCAGACCCCGCTCACCTGTGAGATCCCTGAGAAAACAGCTTTGTCCACATCATTCAGCCCTGCTCCGTCCTGCCGCTGCACCCCCGCCGACCAGGCTGCACACCAGTGGTGAACCCAGCAGTGCCCTGGCACCAGGGAAGAAAGCATTACCCTCCTGGAACCCAGAGAGGGACTTCTGGACCTCCAGGGGCCAGAGAACAAAGATGGAGAGCAGGGGGCTGAGGATCACTGGCAGGGGAGAGAGGCTTGCCCCCCACTGCTCACCCGTCGGCTCCGAGATCTGTCTCAGCGTCACCCCTTCTGTGAAGCCAATCTGGGACAGGTCGTCCTCGGCGCCTGGGACCTCGCCAGGGCCCTCCTGCCCCTGTGGCTGCTCTGTCCAGTTGGGCCCTGGCTCGAAGCGCTGGAGCTCCCGCTGCCCCAGCCGGCTCCAGTCCCCACAGTTGCAGAGGGCGCAGCGCCAGGGCAGGGTGCTGGGTAAGAGACACAGAAAACATCCAGGCTCAGCCCTGATGCTGTGGTCAGAAGCCCAGCCACCCCTTACCTGCACAAAGGTCCCCATGTCATCCCCAGAGCTGGGTGCACCCCGCCAGGCCCCCATGGTGCTAAGGCTCAGCCCAGGGATGTCCCATCTCCTCTCCCAGCTGCCCATGGATCCCACAGATCCTAGCCAAAAGGCAGGGACCCACTCCCCCCGGCCGTCCTCGCCCGCTCTCACCTGCAGGGCTGCGGGGGCCGCTTTGTCTCAGTGCTCCCTGGCTCCTGTGCAGCAGGCACCACTTCCGGGGGCTTCAGCGGATCTCCCTCCACACTGCCCTGCTCCTCTGAGGACGCGGCTCCGTCGGCTGCCAGGAAGGACCCACCGTCAGGACCCACCCGTGGCTCAGAGCCAGCAGCAGCCACTGAACATCAGGGCTGGCCCCCGAAGGCTCCATGGAGTCCCCTGGCCCTCCAGGTGGGTCACGCTGGCCGCATCCACTCCAACCAGGGCCTGGACTAGTCTTGGGACTGGGATGAAACCCTGGTGCACCAGGACGCTCTCTCCCCACCCCTTCAGCATGCACACCAGGCTGCACTGGTGCAACTGGTCCCAGATCACAGGAACCAAACCCGGCATTGTGACCGTCACACATACTGGCTCCATCCCCTGGCATCTCTGACACCCATGGTCCCTGCCCAGCCCAGGACCCCCGGGCATCTCCCGGCCCCTCACCTGGCGCCTCAGAGTCTTTGTCCTCACCGGGCGGCTTCTGCTCATCCATCCCGCCACCTGCCGTCCCTCACAGAGAGGCCTGCAGCTGGGGGGGGGGAGGGGGGGGGAGACACGTTAGCTCCACCATGGTCCCAGGGCTCTGATGCCACCGCTCCCAGCCCCTGGCACAAATCACAGGGGTCACAGGGCATCCACTTCTGGGCAACTCAAGTGGTTCCTACCACTCAAGAAGCCACAAAGCAAGTGAGTTGGAAGGGCCTCAGTCCAACTCCTGGCAGAGGAGAGTCAGCTTCTCGCACCAACCACCGCAGGCCCCAGCCGGCCACACACCCAGCTGGTCCGCAGCACCCCTGCCCCGCAGATCCCCCATGGGACTGCCCAAGGGTTGCGTGGAAACAACCCCAGGCCCTCTCACACCAGGCACGGCCCAAACCCACCGCCCTAGGCAGGAGGGAGCTCCCTGGTACGTGTCCCTCTCTGCTCCACTGCAGCACGGGCTGCCCTGGTCATGGCTGTAAGCACCCGGGGAAGAAACCACGGTCAGGGCCTAGGCACCAGCCATGCAGGAGACACATCCGTGTACCCGAGCCCTACCCCCACGAGCTACAGGGCCGTGCCCCGGACACAGCACACGCTGGATCCCCTGGACGCTGTGTATCTGGGGCAGCTTCTCCCAGCAGGTGCCGCCGCACGGGGCCGCTGGCGCGTGCGAGGCCTGACCTCAATTAAAGCCCGGGGGCGGGGGGGTGCAGGGCACCCCACAAGCCAGCTGGCTCGGGCAGGGGGAGGAGACTGCCTAGGAAGCAGCAGGGCAGCCCCGGGGGCTAGCGGTCAGCACAGAGGGGAACCAGGACGTGGAGAAAAACCCGGCCCTGGGAGGAGAGCCAGGACACCTGGGTCCTACCCCTGGCTCCCAGAGGGGAACACGGCAGCGTCTGGGGTGGAGCGTTCTGGCAGGCACCTCGCGGTGGTGCAGAAGGGGCCTTGGAGGGACCGGGACGGAGCCAGGCCCCGCCACGCATGCACTGGCTGCCCAGGGGGCTCGGGGTGCAGGCACCAACCCCCAGCTGCTGGGGCCACGGGGCTCAGCACGTCCCCCAGGCCCTGGACTGGGGGCCGGGACGCCAAAAGACCCCCTGGGCGAGCGGGGCCCTGGTTTGAGGATAATGACCCCCGGATAGGGCAGGGCAGGGGCTTACCCCGGTGTTTGGGGGATGTTGGGGGGGGG